ACGCTTTAGAAGGAAGCCATCTATACGTGAGTATGAATTATGCACTGAGGAGTGGAACGTAAAGGCTTTTTCGCTAGTGTGTAGTAGTCTCCACGCGTCGTATAGATGGTATGCATGGAGCAATTTATGTATTGCATTGCATTGCCTTTTTAAGGGTCTAAGTCTGGGACTATGTGCAGGGACAGTAGTATCCATACATGGGTCTAAGACATGATTGAAGTCTCCGCATATTACCGTAATGCCCTGTTGTTTTTCTACTATTGTGGTGAGGATTTTGTGTAGGAGGTTTCTTTGCTCAAAGTTGGGTCCATAAATGTTGACGATAGTGTACAGTATTCCGTTAAACGTGCCTATGACAATTGCATATCTGCCCTCCCTATCTAGTGCATGTGAGTGGGGTGTGAATGCCACATGTCATGATTATCATTTTACTATTCATATACTTATTCAATGTGTACAGCTGTACAGGTTTCAATCAGTTTCTAAAAAAAAAAGAATAAAATAAAACAAAAGCAAAAGATACTTGTTGATCAGTAACTTCAGAGCACTGACATTGGAGATTTTTAATACATAGATAAAGTAGTTCAAGTATTAAAATGACTGAGCTTTTTCCAAGCCCATATATTTAAGGCCGCAATTTATATTGGATCGTGCTTGGCATTTTCCTACAGACAAAGCTTTTATTTTAAGGCCCTATAAATGCTTAGTCACGTTTATCTTTATATAGCAGAAACAGCCTCAATGCCTGGCCTGCACCATGCAATGGTATTTAACCTCTATGAGTCTGCAAATTACAAAAACACTTTCTGCTTTATGCATAAAACGTGATGTTCAGGTCAGCACACACTGAGTTAAGGTGTGATGCAACTATAGGTTGGAACTTGCAGTGAAACCTGCCCCCTCTGAAAGCAACCCCCTACTACTGCAATTACTGTTAATGTGCTGTTTTGGGGCCATAATGCAGTCACTAATATTATAGTTGGTAAAGATAAGTGTTCCTGTTAATGATGATGTGAGGATGATGTGATGATGGTGAGGTGCTGATGAGCCTGATTGCTGCTTCGGCAGAATCACGTGAGGCCCCTTTAAGTTTCCATCGAACAGCCTGCGGTGTCACATGATGGACATGATATAATGTAACCACATAAGGGAGGGAGACAGAGGAGAGGGTGTCAGATAGACAGGGGAAACACAGCATGCTGCGCAGAGGAAGCTATGGGACCACTGCAGCACGCACTGCAAGAATAGGGTACCAAATAGCTCGATTGGTTCTAGTGTGCTTTTTTAATATCCATCCACGTATAAAAGGGCTGGAGATGTAGTAAGAAGGGAAAAGGCAGAACCAACTCCCACCAGGGGCCAACTTATTGGAAGCAGCAATAAGAAGCAATGTTAGATGATAGCATAGAAACCCAACCACACAACAAGAAAGGAAGAAGTAGAAGCAACATCATCGTCAGTGTTTGTGCAAGGCCACAATCAGCTGCGCAAACACTTTCTACAGACCAGAGGCTGAACGCAAAACACAGCTTCCTCCAGTAGAAGTAGGAAGCAGGGAAGGGAGCCTTGTCTCCTGCACAGCACTGGGCTCTGAAAGGGAGCCTCTGGAGCTCAGGCACAGCACTAATTATTGGAAAAGCAGCAAGATCCACATCCAGCACTGAGGAAAGGGGAAAAAAATACATGAGGGAGGAGCAGGGGCAGCACCCACTTCTACCACAACACATGGACAGGGAAGGAACACCCACCTGCAAAGGCAAGCAGAGGAACAGCCACCAGCACTCCCCTCCACTATAAACACTAATTGCTGCACACTGACTATGTGTGCCAGCCATCCTTGAAGAGGAGCTATAGGACCAGCCAGGGGGTTGGCAGCTCATCCTACTTTGATCTGCTGGTAAGTTATATGTAGGATCAGAGATGCTATCGGTATCTTGTTTGTTTTGATGTAACTGAGTTAAGAATGTGTACGGTTATTAAACGATTTTTAGTGCAGTTTCAATGTTACAGTATACTGTCTGCCATTATGCATCAGTGCAGATTAGGGTATGGGGGGGAAAAATTAAATAATTCTTGTTTTCTCCTCAATGTGTGGGTGCGTATTGTAAACGGTACTGTGTGGCTCAGTCCAGTATGGTCTGTTATGGGATGGGATGTGAGGTACATGAGTTATGTTTTTCTACATTTGTGATCTTGGCCATAATCCCAGTGTGTGTCATGGTGATCCGCTCCGTGCTGTGATGTGTATCTCGGTGGGGGAGATAGCTCTGGGTTATCATTCCATGCATGGAATGATTGCAGTTCTATGATTTACTTTGATAGTTACATTGATCGCTTTTGCCCCATTGCATCCGCTTTGTTTGGAAACTCACTCATCGCTCCACGCCCCCTTCCTGCACTTTGCGATTCCACCAAATGTACCCACCTGCAGACCGAGACAGTGATTCCCTGGGCTAACAGTGACTCGAATAGGTAGATCTGACAGTACCAATACACCAAATTAACACATAATGCTCCCAAGTGCCATCAGAGCCCCATAGTGACTATGTCTTTAAAATGTGGGTGTGTGACGAGGCGTACTTACAAACACTGTGCTCACTAACCTACGTAGTTTGTTTTGTGCCCCCTTGACACTCAAGCTTTGATCTAACTGTGTCATTTTGTGTTCCACAGTGGATCATAAGGTACTCCCTACCACTATATGTATGATGTGTGCAGGCTGTATTCAGTGCTGCGTAGGTGCATGCATACTGTTGGCTGTGGAGTGCCTGCTGTATTATTGTGTGTGTGCTGTAGGTTTGGTGTGTTGTGCTGGATACAATCTGCGTGTTATGGTCACTTCTCTTTTTTCAATGTCCGCATTCCAGCTCATGTTGCGCAGATAGAATTCAGTACTGATGTAAACAGAGAGGAGGAGCAGAGCTCAGCCTCATCCTTCCTATTCTCATGTGCTCCTCCTTTCACAAAGCCCTGTGCTTACAGTGTATACAGGAATGTATATTCTTTTATACATGGTGCGTGTGTATGTGTGTTGGAATGTCTACATACACGTTCCTATAAATACATAAATATAGTGCGCTGAGTGGTGTAAACAGAGGGGAGTGTCCCCTCTGACACACTTGAGGGCTGACCCTATTCTGATCGTCACACTCCTCTTACAATCACATAGGACAAGTGGATGATTTATTCTGTTTATATCTAGTTGACTAGCTCCATAAATCAATGTAGTTGAGGGAGAATTGTTTCCACCTTTTCCACATATATAGAATCATCTTAAAACAACATTACTGCAAAAGATACGTTTATATTATAAATGATAATAGATAGGCAAGTACATACGGCTTTAATATTATATATATATATATATGTATATGTATATGTAAAAGTTATAAAACTTTTGAGTGGATTTTGCTAGAGAGAGGCCGTTATTAATTTATGTATGAAAAAAACATGAATAGGGTTACTCCAAGTACCATAACCATTTCACAGATTTGAAGTGGTCATGGTGCCTGGAATCTGTATACGCGGCATTTCGCTATGAAACTGCACATACTAAGTTTAACCCCTCCGTTGGATATGTAACTTCATATTCGGCAGTGTCATAAGCCTGTTGACACCTCTGGGCTGTCTAATGTCAATTCTGGGCATATATCTATGATTCGTGTGTCATTCATTGACTTAAGAGCGGTGAGTTGACAATCTTTTGTTTTCCTTTCCTTATGCCCTCTGTATACTCTCTCCCTTGTCGCTTGCATTTTTTATGTATAATATCCATTTTTCCTTGTGATCTCAATATCTGGTACTAGCCATTGTGTTCTTTGCCCATGATGTCAGCTGTTTGCCCATCTGTGAGATTGAATTTATTGATGGTTTGTGGGTCAATTTGATTGGTAACTGAAACAGAACCTTGTTTTAAGCTTAGCCCATTGTCTTCTTTTGCCAGCCTTTTTTGCCAGGGGGGGGGTGGAGCTATATAGAAGCAAATGAGATGATTTTTATTTTTAGTGAGAGATCTGCTTTAACCCCTTAAGGACACATGACATGATTCCCTTTTATTCCAGAAGTTTGGTCCTTAAGGCGTGGGCGGACCGTGACCCAGCGCCGAGGGACATCGGCGCTGGATACAGGTACATCACTGAAGGGGAGGGAGAGGGGACCGGCAGTGCCAGTAAAACGGCTTGTTTTCCTGGCACTGGAGAGTCCCTTTAACCCCTTAAGGACACATGACACGTGTGACATGTCATGATTCCCTTTTATTCCAGAGGTTTGGTCCTTAAGGGGTTACCAGCTTAAAAAATGCTTTCCTGTGGGGATTTCAGCGGCGCTGGAGGTCCTCACATAGTGTGAGGACGTCCAGTGACGTTATAGCACACTTTTCATGTGCTAGAAACACGGAAGTGTCGTCTAGTGGCTGTCTAGTAGACAGTCAGCCACTAGAGGAGGAGTTAACCTTTAAAGGTAATTATTGCAGTTTATAACAACTGCAATAATTACACTTGCAGGGTTAAGGGTAGTGGGAGATGGCCCCCAGACCACTCCAATGGGAAGAAATGGTCTGGGTGCCTGGAGTGTCCCTTTAAGGCTGTTTTGGAATTGGTTTAGTGACTTGTTTGTTATAGGTACCAATGATTGCCAAAACGTGGCCATGAGATGGATAGTGGGAACAGGCAACTTCTCACACATTACACTAAATATATATATATATATATATATATATATATATATATATATATCTTGATAAAAACCCTGAGGGGTCAAAACGTTGATGTAGGTTTATTAAAACTTTATTAAACACAGGTTGAAAATCCAAGTGAGTGCTCCTGATTGACAGCATTTACCTATTGGCTTGGAAGCACCCGGGTAATATTACTGTTTATATTTTTTGTTGGGGCTGAGTGCCTGAGTCTGGCCTTCTATCTATATATATATAATCTGTCATAGAAAAGTCATGTTTTAAGATATGTGGAAAATCTTATGTAGATCCTTACCATAGATACTGATGAAAATACACCAGTATCATGGCTCCAGGAAAATAATTCCTCCAGGAGCTGAAGTTCAGGCTGAAGAAGATAATGGCTCGAAAAGGAAGAAATCCATGTATGTTTTGTCTACTACCCTTCTCTTTCATAGGTGTAACCATGTTGACCAGTGGTTCTTCATGAGATTCTTAGCAGCATGACCACTGCAGACAGGTGTAGTGGTTATATAGTCTGCATGCCCCAGACAATATCCCTGATTGGATCTAATGGACCACTTGTATAAGTAAGACGTATTATCTTGGCAGTTGTCACAGAGAGCCCTATTCCTAGTGGATGCCACCATAATGTAATACAGGATTAATATAAAGTTAAACCTTCTAATCTTTACTTCCCCCACTGAAAAAAAATCTCCTAATGGCTAATCTTTACGTTCATTTATGCCCTCCTGAACTTTTAGTACAGGCACCTGTGTTGTGTTCGAGCCCATCTGTGTTGTATATGAGCCTGACCCAAACTCTTTCGAAAAGACCTGTAACTTCTGAGTTTTTATAGAAAGAATATTTATAAAAACTGTATTGTGTTTCACTGAAAATAAATATGAAAACATATACATAAGACATGAGAGACCACTATTTTTTTTTATGCATGCTACTGAAAATATTAAAACAGAATATTGATTAATTTCTGTCTGCTTGACCATTTCCCATCATGTTGTGTCAATAAAGTTTGACAGGAAAAGGCATCTTCATTATAAATGTGCAATAGATGCTTAGGATCTTTAAAATGAATATGTCAGCTCCTAGCACACCCATCTATAGATTAGTAGTGAGAACATTGCTTTGTTATGAGTAATAAAGACCATAAAATACACTATATTTAAGTCCTGTGCTACCTGCACACAATGCCAAATACCTACGCACATTTAAATAACAGGAGGTTTGTCTTGACGGGGAAGTTGAGTTTGCACATTAATGACCATTGAAGCGGTACAAAAACCTGTTTTATGGCTAGGGAGTATAGGAAGGAAGCAAGCATGACAGCATCACTGAGAAGGTTTCCCGGCTTGGGGAAGCATCCCAAAACAGGGCATATCAAAGAAGACCAGAAAAGAAGGGGACAGACTTGAGCTGGGTGTTACATGAAGATTAACACCAACAAAACTCTGAAGATGGTGGGGCTGGAATGGAGTTGAGTATATCTTGACATTTTACATTGAATATATCATGCATTTATGTGATCTATGATCTATTTAATGTGTATAAGTCCAATTTAAAGTAAGTTGATTCACTAAGCTGATTTACTTAACATTAGGGGTTAATTTTAAAGGTACACTCTAAACCAGGGGTTCACAATTCATTTTTCCTGGGAAACCCTTTGACATAATGAATCAACGTCGTGGAACCCTCACACCTCCACCCCCAAAAAACCCCAACAATTATATGCTGTTGCATAAACCTTTTTATGTATGTGCTAGTGTGTATCTGCGTGTCAGTGTGTATCTGTGTGTGTATGTATCTAACACACAGATACACACATAGTGGCACACAGATACACACATAGTGGCACACAGATACACACACTGACACACATACACACACACACACCTTGACATACAGTGTGTATATGTGTTTGTATGTGCCGGTGTGTGTCTGTGTGTTAAGGTGTATGTATCTGACACACAGATACACACTGGCACATAGTGACACACAAATCCACACTCCTTGATACATAGATTTACACTTTGTGTATCTGCATGTCAAAGTGTGTGTATCTGTGTTTGCATGTGCCGGTGTGTGTCTGCGTGTCAAGGTGTGTTTATCTGTGTTTCTATGTGCCAGTGTGTGTATCTGTGAGTCAGTCTGTATCTGACATACAGACACACACACCTTGACATACAGTGTGTATATGTGTTTGTATGTGCCGGTGTGTGTCTGTGTGTTAAGGTGTATGTATCTGACACACAGATACACACTGGCACATAGTGACACACAGATCCACACTCCTTGATACATAGATTTACACTTTGTGTATCTGCATGTCAAAGTGTGTGTATCTGTGTTTGCATGTGCCGGTGTGTGTCTGCGTGTCAAGGTGTGTTTATCTGTGTTTCTATGTGCCAGTGTGTGTATCTGTGAGTCAGTCTGTATCTGACATACAGACACACACATTGGCACATAGTGGCACACAGATACACATACTTGACACAGAGCACACACACACTGGAACATACACACTGGCACATACACACAGATACACACAAGAACATACAGACACAGACCTAGATACACACAGACACACATATACATACACACACCTTGACACACACAGATACACATACAGATTCACACACATTGGAATATACACACACTGACACAGGTATACACATATAGACACATACACATCTGTTTATATTTGCTGTTAACTTACCTTTTTTTTATGACTTTAGTGGTGCAGGCTGCTGGCTGAGGCTAGTATGCTAGGTGCTCCATACCCGCTGCTTCCATTCTCCCTCCGGCCAGTGCTCTAACAGGAGCACTCTGTCTCGGAGGAAGTGCTATCACATAGAACAGGGGTCTGGTCACAGTCTTAGATGGCCGTGGCGCCTGACCGGACCCCTGTTTAGCGATACCCATTTGGTGGCTCTAAACGCTGTGAAACCCCAATTTTGTTCTCCAAACAACACTAATTGGGAAACGCTACTCTAAACAAAATAACCACATTGTGTAAACTATTCTTCTGGCTTGTTAGCCCTGTACTCTTGGACCATCACTACCATCCTCATTTATATGCTTGACTCCAGTATAGTCACATTTTTGTAAAATTGCTTAAAAACAATTGATCAATGTTTTAAGAATGGACACTGCTGTACTTGTGTCATCTCACTCAAGCTTCGGTAGTCTTTTAACCAGGACCTGAAATGTTAGCTTGTTCCTTGGATTTACCTGTCCAGTACAGAAGGGAGATTTTGGGTCACAGGAAGAAATCTTGCTTTTGTACGTAATGAGTAAAGGCTCTCCGATGCCTGACCTCTGTGCAGAAGAAGGCTGACATAATAGACATCCTGACAGCAGTGCAGCCATGGTCTCCATTGGGACCTTCGTGTAATGGGCCACAGGGTAGATGTTTCAGTTCTTAGGATGCTTTAGAGTCAATCTCTTTTCTGTATGCCTGTCTGTTTTTGTACGGCAAGAGGAATTGGACAATACATGATGAGAAACAACAGGAGAACCAAACATAGGCCTCAATTTAATACGCTTTCCAAATTATTCTATAATGATAGAAAAACTTTCCAGATGATTTATCTACAGAAAACACCCTTAAAGTCTATGGGGATTTTTGTTGATAACTCATTTGGAATTTTTTCACAGCATTGAATCATTTTTGAAAGCTTAGTATATCAAGGTCTTACGCAGAAATCCCCTGGGAGCCAGTAACATCTCTGAGAACCTATAGTCTAAAAGCAGTTAAAGCATGTTTGTAAAGCAAGGATTGTGCTTGTGCTGTTCTGGATTGTTACTGTGTGGTATCAGAATGTGCAATATTAGTTTATATTCTCTTCCCATTATATGACTCTATATGAAAGATTCTCTGGGTTGTTTTGTGCTGAGGAAGTACAGGTCAAGCTCAGGATGCAGACAACTGAAACTTCCTACAAATGTTCAGCCTAATTCATTGATGGTTACATAATCTTTTAAAATGAGTGGTAACGTCCGTTCTGGAATGTCTCTTAACATGTTTCCTCCTATCTCTTCCCTTAGCCCTCATCCTAACCAGCCCTTTTAAATAGCTTCTTGCACCAGCAAAATGCAGAACTGGAAAGTCCCATACATTTTATTTACATATTTGATTTTGTTTTCATGGAAACTCATAGACTTATTATCCACACAGCGCAATTTAGCATAAGGCTGTCGGTCTCTTGCCGAGTGAAATAAATTCTCCTTGTTAATAATTGACTGTACACATTTTTAGTGTTACTGTTTCCTTTGAAAGTGCTAGATCCTAAATATCACATTTTAGTTTATTTAAAACTGTGTAGTAGTATTTACAGATCAACATAACCAACATATATAATAGAAAAAAATAATATTAATATTAGTACAACCAAACCTAACCCAAGTACATAAGACAATAACCTAAGGTTAATAAAAAATATAATACAAATTCATACCACTTGCTTATCTTTGCAAAATACAGAGTTTAAGAAATTGAAACAATTAATAGAGTTGTGGGAACACTGGAGAGATAAGGGCAGGGTCCATAGTTACAACCAAGTGTCTCATTTTGTCTCTTGCATTATTGATTTGAGTAAGAGTAAGTCTTGAAACATAGTCACTGTTTGGGAACACAAGCTAGCTATGTCAGGAAGCAACTCACTTGATTTTCTCTCTTAAGGCAGTCACATATAAAGAAATTTTAGCGAGAGAACATACTAACTTTTTAGTTCATTACATATCCTGGTATTCACTTGTCTTTTACAGTTAGTTTTCCACGAGTGTCTTGGTAACTCATTTACCATGAATGGATAAGAGGTATTTATCAAATTATTCTCTTCTACAAAGAGGTCTAAAGTGCTAAAAGTGGAGTTGTTGTTTTTATGGACACTAGGGGGATCTACAGACACATTCCACTTATGACTCCTCCCCTTTACATTTTTGCATCACTCGTTAGAACAGAACATTTTCAGAATGTTGTTGCCATGACTTAAAGACAAATATTAATATTTTCATTAATATATATAAAAATGAAGCAATAAGTAACAACATTAATATTTTTTTTAGTTCGTGGTATTATGGTCGAATATGTGGATAGAAAATACACAAAACGTTGTAATATTAAATATATATATTTAATATAATTATAATAGCAAGTAAGCAGAAGCTATCAGAATGTCAATTTACTACAATAATTATACAATATAAAACTACAACATATTACTTACAAAAGGCTAGAACCGTTGCTAAATGTTACAATGCAATCACATGGTATAATACAAAACATGAACAAACTTACACAGGCCCCATCCTGTGGGGCTGAGGATAAACAGTCAGCTGCTACATTAGGCTGGCCCGTGATGTCACTGCTAGAAGCACACGGCTTAAGGAATCATACACACTGTCTCTAGTGGTGCCTCTAAAACATTAAACTCATTATTCTTTATTTCATGACGTAAATCATTCTATTAATACCATTACAGCTAATAACCCCCATATTGAGCAATAACACATTCTGTGTTTTTTTTTCATGAATTTAACTGTGTTACTGTGTTTCATAATCCATGATATTTAGGAACTTTTTTTTAGCTCCACAAAACAATGAATGTACCATGGATATTTAAAGTTTTATTTGAGTGCTGTATAATTTCAGGGAAACGTTCACTAAATGAGTGACAGCCTTTATGAAAAATTACAATCATTAGTGAAAGAATTTAATTGTTATCTAAATGGCACAACGCTGTTAGTAATTGAATGTCAAGACAAACAATTGAAAATGATTATACATGGCTTACAGTAAAGGAAGATTTTTGCATTCTTCCATACTCCACAGCAAAAGACAAATGACTTTTTTACCTGAAATAGGAGAACTTATTTTAGATAACTTTTTGCTTTCTCAGAACACATTATTAAATAGTATTTTTTTCTCCAAAGGTGTGTTACAGTAATGGGGGCAAAACTTGCACCATTCACTGCAGATTCAAATGTGAGCTTTTGAGAAATATTTTAAAGGTATGCAAATCTACAATGAACTTGTCTTGTTATATGAACATATATGTACAACATCCTATTATATAGTATGATCAGAACGCACACTATACAAGAAATGTTGCGGATGTTTAACAACATTGTCCAAAACTGTAAAAAATAAAAAAACATTTTCTTAGACCTAGTGTTCAAACAGAAAAATTTGTAATATCGAAATATAGAAAACCATCAACACGTTGTTAACACTAACTAGGGCAGGGGTAGGCAACCTACGGCACTAGTGCCATGCATGGCACTCATGGTGTCTTTGCACGGCACTCAAGGCAGCTACAGCCAAACAGGCTCTGGCCTATCAGGAGTCCCAGTGAAACTTCAGATATCTGCTAATACGAAAAGGTGGTGAAGGACAATCCTCAATTTATTTATCTCAGATCACTTCCTCCCAGCACTTGTGAATGGGAATCCACACTGGAGTAGACAAGTCCACAGCTGCTGTTGCAGCTCCTGTCCTTCACCTGTACCTGGCCAGCCTGGTCCCCATTGGAACTCAGGGAAGCCACCCACACTGCTAGATTTACACAGAAATGCACAATAACCCTCCCCTCATACAAATAATACGAACAGCCCACAAGCAAACATACATACAATCCGCACAAACGTAACCCGCTAACAATCCACATACATGCACACAACCCCACATGCAGCCTCTCACATGCAATACCCCAAACAGCCCCCGCACATACACACACTACCAAACACAAAATGTGACATATCCATCCACACACACACACAATTCCACAAGCAGCCCCCATACACAGCCCACATTAATATGTATCATAGACGATACCACAAACTACTCATGAACAGATACAATATAATAGCTCATAAACGCACAAATACAACAATACAAAGCAATTACAGTAAAAATAACACAAGCAGAATACGGCAGCATACACACCTCAATTTAAAAAAATAGGACCGACACGCTACGGGACATCACAATCCTATATCGGCACAGTGCTGCTAAAAGGTTGCCTACCCCTGAACTAGGGGATACCATAACATACATTATCAGGTATACCAATAGGAGAGTTTAAACATTTTAAAAAAATTATATTATTTGACTTGAACAAGAAAGTTGATGTTTATGACAGGTATTTTGAACAGAATCAATTTTGGCACTTTTTATTACATATTTTGACATTATAAATGTAGTCATATAAATACGTACATGCGCACACACACAAAATATAGTTGTTGTTTTTTATCTTTCGTTATCAAGAGCCTGAAAAAGACTGGTATTGTAGTAGCTTTATTATTATTATGGTGGAAGGGACTTTATAAATATAGTGTCTCTGCTGGTGCTTGCCTCCATTTCTATATGGAACAGAGTTTTAAGAGAAGCATGCAGCATTCTCTGTTGTCCTATAAACCTCTGAGCACTCGTAAGAAGGAGAGAAGCGCAAAGGTTTTGTTGTCAATAATACCAAAACTCCGAATTGTTTGTTATGATGCACTTTCAGTCATACTGCAGGATTATGTTTTGCATGAGATACTTTCAAATACATTACTATTATGCATAGGCGTGCGCAGCCTATTGCATTAGGGTGTGCACCCTAAAGCACAAACACACGCCGCATGTGTGTGTATGTGTATATATATGTATATGTGTGTATGAGGGTGCTGTTAGTGTGATGTGTGTGTGTGTGAGGGTGCTGTTAGTGTGATGTGAGGGTGTTTGTGTGTGTGTGTTTGTGACTGTGCTGTTTGTGTGTGTGTTTGTCCTGTGAGGGTGCTGTTTGTGTGAGTGTCGTGTATTTGTGAGGGTGCTGTTTGTGTGTGTGTGTTTGTGAGGGTGCTGTTTGTGTGTGTGTGTGTTTGTGAGGGTGCTGTTAGTGTGCTGTGTGTGAGGGTGTTGTGTTTTTTTTAACGGTGCTGTGTGTGAGAGTGTTGTGTTTTTTTTTAACGGTGCTGTGTGTATTTGTGAGGGTGCGGTTAGTGTACTGTGTGTGTGTGAGCTGTATGTGTGTAGGTGCTGTATGTTTGGAGGGATTGTGGAGGTGGGGGCAGATTAGTAAATCCTTGCTGCCATGTGCCATCCCTGGTGGTCCAGTGGAGAGTGAACTCTAGCCTGCGGGCAGCAACGCTCAGATATCGCGAGAGGAACCTGGCAGAGCTTCTGTCTAGAGCTCCCTGGGTCCTCTCCTGCCTCCCTCCATGCTGCGGTGGGCCGGTGAGGTAGATCTTTGGTCTCCCCGCCTGCTCTGCGTGAGCGGACAGGGGAGATCGGGATTCCCACCCCCCCAAAAAAAATAATCTACACGTGTGTGTGTGCATATATATATATATGTATATATATATATATATATACGGCGTATACACACACACACACACACACTCACAGACACACACACATACACTCACAGACACACACACACTCACACACACACATTCACAGACACACACACATACACTCACAGACACACACACATTCACAGACACACACACATACAAATTATTATATTTTAATAATAAAATGTCCACCCAGCCTCCCTACCTGGAGTGCTGGCGTGGACTTTTCCCAGGGGTCCAGTAGGGCGCGCGCCTGTCTGCATCTCAGCCACGGCGAGGGAGCTGTCTGCTCTCTGCTTCCTCTCGCCGCGTGGGCTGTCTGCTGTAGCTGGGAGCCGGAATATGACGTCATATTCCGGCTCCCGGCAGCAGCAAACTGCGTGCGGCGAGAGGAAGGAGAGAGCAGACAGCTCCCTCGCCGCGGCTGAGATGCAGAGAGGGGGGGTATCCATCACCTCTTGCCCCCTCCATGACAGCGGCAAGAGGTGAGACAGGGGGCGCTGAGTGCCTGCAGGAACAGCATTCCTGATCAAAAAAAACACTGTTCCTGCAGGACTCCAACCATAGGCGTGCCACGGGGATTAGGGTGTGCCCAGGCACACCCGGCACACCCCGTGCGCACGCCTATGCTATTATGGTATGTCCACACATGTCAATAAAGAATGTACTCAATTAACTTTTTATAGTACCCTATTAAAGCGGAGTCTGTATCTGCCTATCCGACTAGGTCATGCAGCTAGATGAGATTAAATGGATTCATCAGTGCATGTGAATGTGATATTCTATGCACTTTTTAAACATTTTTTTTCTTAAGGCTGTAATGCCACTTGTGTGTGTATTTTCTTTTGCAAAGATCACCACTATCACCCCCATGCAAACTGTCATCTTGCAAAGGAGGAATAGGTAAGGAGGTATACTTGCCTAAAAGTCTATCTCTTCTATGGAAGGAGGAGATCGGTAAGGAGGTATACTTACTCAAAGTCTATCTCCTCTGTGCCATGCTTCTTCAGCTCCTGATGCCTTCGTTCATCTGTCAGGAGTCTTGTTAGTTGTGTACTCTTGTGCATGCCTCAATGTGCAAAATTGGGGCCTATGCAAAATTTGCAAGACATGCTCCTTATAAACCTCTGATGCATACATAATAAGATGCCATGGGCATGTTGCCATCAGCTGTTGCTTGCAGAGTTTGGTGAAAGAAGTTCCATTCAAATCCACTTTTTGCCAAAAATCGAGTGAGAAAAAGTAGTCCCTACTTTAGCTCATTTGCATCTTTTGATTGTGTTGGAAATGCAAAGGAATTACAGCACATCAACAATAGTTTTTGTCCACAATGAATCTACATTAACGAAAAGCTTAATCTGGCTGATTTAGATACTTTGAGGAAATAGAATCCTGTAATAGTGGCTCTGTCCTAAGGACCAGCTGAGCTTGATCTAGAATTACTAACACCACCATATGAAAGTGTACTACAAGGTTAGTCCTTCAGTGTCAGGACTGCCAGCAGGCATTGCAATCAGCCTGCACAAAGGTACTTACACGGTAAAAGAATCCAATATACAGGAAAACTATTAAGAAAATGAAAGGGATAGACAAGAGTATTAACTCTATTTACTTCAAAAGCAAAGCTCTTTTATCTATTTCCTGTGCTGATCACTAAAAAAACATTAACCAGACATCTCTTCCATGCTGCCAAGTTATTGATTTCCATCTGTCTGGAAGTAGTCTGTCATCCTCAACCTCCAGCAGTGGATTTTCAAAGTGGAAGAGCTATAGCTTCCCTTAACTGGACTGGATTTCTATCCTGCACTACTTCTACTTTGTTTTAATATTTCTTGTTTTGACACATCTTCGACTAGTTCCTAGTGGTTGGCTACTCTTGAACTCTCCTCTCCCTTTTTTCCTTCTCCCTTGTTTTCGCACCCCCGTCCTCTCCTCTTCATTGAGCCCTTTTCTTGTGGCTTTGCCCTTTCTGATTCTTTCCTTTCTTTATCATCTCCTTAGCTGTTCTTGTCTGTTTGTTTACTTGCGCATTCTCATTCATCACATGACATTCTTCTGATTTCTACTGAGATGCTCTTTGTTGATGATCTACTAGTGGAGTGTCAACTCGCCTTGTTTTATGTTAACATATTGCCCTTTTGTCACTGTTATTTTGACATTCATATTCATACTACAAATTTATTTGTTGCACTTTTTTCTGTATATTAAAGCACAAAAAGTATAGATAAAGATTATTTAAAACAACAACAGTGTTGGCAAGCTTTAAGTGACACTAGAGACACCCAGACCACTTTATCTCATTGAAGTGGTTTGGGTGCAGTACCCCCATCTGTATAAGCCTGCAATGTAGAGGCGCTTTTTGGTGCTTCACGGACAATGTCCAGCGTCTTGAATATCCCCATAGGAAATCATTGATTCAATGCTTTCCTGTGGGGAAGCCCTAATGCGTGCACCATGGCATCATGGGAGGAGGAAAGTTCCTTGGCGCTGGAATCCGGTATTTGAAATACAAAGTTTTTACAGTTTGTATTCACAACACTACAGTGAGTGTTCCTTTAACATAAGATAGACACTTCTCTGATACCTGGCAACAGGAATACAAATAAGATAGTGTAGGGCACTATTTCACTCTAACATCCTCAATGCTTGCACCGCAGGTGGGGTCGTTATTCCATAAACCAGTTGTTCCATAAACAAGTAGAATTTCAAGAAGAGAGCCTCAGCACACAGTGTAGTTATACATGGTGTTTTATATAGCCATCAAACGCAGACTGCCACTCTGTTTGATGGCTGAATAAACCACCAATGTATCACTACACTGTGTGCTGAGGCTCTCTTGAAACCTGACAGTAGGTAACAGTTAAGTATAAACAGGTTTAGGCAGAGATCAGGATACCAGAGAACAGGATGGTAAAAATAGAAGTCAGAGTCTGGGAACCAGAAGACAGGAATTCTACATACAAGGCCAAGGCAAAAACCAGGAAACAGGACACAGAGAGACCTCCCAGCAGAGTTTCAAGGATAAACCCAGTGCTCTGTCATTTGACCCAAACAGTGTACAATGAGATACATTGTTTTTGTTATAAATTACATTTTAGTTTCCTAGATTATTAGTAAGTCACTTTAAAATGTCATAGGACAGCCCTGCCCCTGACCACACCCACACTCACATCCCTAAAATAAAAGTCTCCATCTTTGTCTATTTGAAATGTTGGAAGGTCCATCCCCAATGGCCAAAGCTGGTACTGCATGCAGGTTATAAGCAAAAACCTGGATTCATCCAAAATGTGAATGTCATATGGTAAAGGGGTAATGGACTCTGTTCTGTTACTCTGCATGCCTTAATTTGGGTAGTACTGTTCTCTCTCTAAAAAGTGATGGAAAAAATGTAACAGAGGAAGAGTCACCAGTGGAATATGCCCAGAGAAGGATTATGATCTCACAGGGCCCTAGGCAGGCTACTGGTTTGGAACCCCTTCATTCTTCACGTATGAGAGGTGAATCAAGACACCTAGCCCCTGGGCCCTAGCTGGTCGACCAATGTCACCATGTGATTAATCCTGCTCTGACTGTGCCTCATGGTTGTTATAGGGGTGGGAATGTTCCTTTATGCACTGCCCTGACAAGCCATATTGGTTTGTTTTTTTCAGTCACATTGTTTGTTTGTTTTTTTGGAGGTACTGGTAGTTTTATATTTATAGATATTTAATTGCTCAAACCACTAAAAGGGGAAACTCCAACAAACCAGTTCCGCCTCTACCATTGATAGTGAGATATTCAGCTCCACCAACTTGGCATAATTGATCTTTGAATTGTATAGCATGCTATAATCCAACATTATATTGTACAGAGACACGTCAGGGATTGTGACATAAAACAGCAAGTCATCCGAATATGCGGCTACTTTGTGATGGGTATGCCTCACTTGAAGTCCCTCTAATCGCATTAAGAAAAGGTTATATGGCAAGGACGATCCGGGGATAACCCTGACTCTTTAACTTTAATCGCACAGATCAGGCTACTTTGCACTAGCAGACAATTAACAGAGCATGAGATAAGAACTTCTAAGCAAACATACTCTCTGAAATCTTTTTTAAGGAAGTGTATAAGAAGGAATGTATAGCTATGGCTATAGAAATAAAGTAGTTTAAATCCTAAACGGCAGAAAATAAAGCATGGAAACTGCAGGGGCGTGATTTATGCATTAAAACTGCTCAATTGCATTGTTTTGTGTGACGAACTGCCTGGCCCCCCCGACCGGGTACCTCCGTCATTGGCTGTTACCTAGTACATGCGAGCACCATAAGCACTGCACTGGAACACCATAACCGCCGCAGCTAGGTTGGGTTCTCGCTGTCCTCCACCCACCCTGGAACCAAAACCAGGATCCAGCTTCCAGTGGGTAGTCCTCTCCTGGTCCAGAGAGCAAAGCAGGCTGCTCTTATAAGAGCAAGTGTTGTGATCCAAGGGAGTATAGTGATTATAGCAATCCCCCGTGTGAATATAGCTCTCCAATCCCCCAAACATGAACCTAGACTTCATGAAGGGTAAAACGAATCTCAGCTTAATGGTAGCCTTTTATGATAGTCCCCATGCAAGGGGCACTCTCCCCTGGACTAGAGAGTAAACTACAGTAAAAACATATACAAACTTACATTGCCTCTCAGGTCCAGGACACTCCCATACAAAATCAGTTAATCCATCCTCTGTGCCTGGGAGATAATTGAATCAGGAACTGTACTAATCCAATTATCTCTAAGCACAGAGAAAAAAACTTAAATTTTTTTCACACCCCCCAAAATACCTTTAAAACACACAAAACCCCCACAAAAGTTACATCCTCTGATAGCCCTGATCTGGGTGACCAACATATCCAAAAATCACCCAGATCAGTTAAGGGATTCAGGAATTTCCTGGAAATCTTATGTTTGACTGACCGTGCACATGGTTCTATGCCCAAAACATTTCCAGAGAATCAGGGCTAACGGTCGGTCTCTCTGTCTGGAATACAAGAGTACATAACTCACATGAACAAAGTCTTTTCAGGTGCATTGGGTAAGGTATATTGCAGGACCCATAGTCCTGAGGCAAGAGGCTGGCCAGCAGGCCCCTCCAAGAACCTGTGACAAGGTTCAGTTTGTCACATTTCTTCCCCCCCCCCCCGAAGGTAAGACCAACTAGGTACCTGATCTTCTTTCAGTCGGTACCTGAGTTAGTCGAGTAGCTCACCCATAAACAAGTACTGGACCTGGTGACTTCTGTTGTCCGTCTCTGTCTTGTATGTCCCAGGCTGCTGAGTGGGTGTCCGTCATCCCCGATCTCTCTTGTGCTCCCTAGCAGGGAGTTGGGGGTACTTGGTGGGCAGAGGCCAGCGGCACTCTGCCCAGTAGCCAGGGTTACAGCTGGGTAGTACAGTGAGTCCACATGGGCCGGCAAGGCAGAGGCCAACTGCTCTCTGCCCGGTTGCCAGCTCTTCCGCTGGGAAGATGTCAGGGGAGCGGCTGCTGTCATCCTCATCTTGGTCAGGATTCCGCAGTTGGGGATCTGGGGGCTCTGGACGACAGTCTAGAGAGTATAGCAGGAACAGCTCTTATAAGAGCTAGTGATTATAATTTTAGGGAGTATAAGGAGTAAAGCAATCCCCAGAGTGAATATAGCTGTCCCCTCCACACATGAGACAAGGCTCTATGTGGAGGGTGAAGAGGAACTGATTTTAATGGTGCCACATTTGGCCTTATATGACAATCCCCATGCAAGAGGTATGCCTACAAAGACCTGATGGTAGACTGATTTACAACGTCACTGACCAATAACAATAAGGTTAAAAGGCACAACACTCCCACACACAGCACACAATCCCTCCCCTCTGCCTGGGAGATAATTGAGTCAGATACTGACTCAAGATACTTGCTCAATTATCTCCAGGCAGAAAAGATACATTTCTATAAAACCCCCAAAGATCAGTTCAGGGGTTCGGGAATTCTATGGAAGTCACATATTTGACTGATCGCACGCATGGTCCCATGCCCAAAACAGTTCCAGCTTGCGGTCGGTCTAGTTCGATAGTTTGAAAACGAACAAACTACCGAACAGAGTCAATAGTCCGGGAGCTTGTTCCTCTCATCCAGACGAATGATCTCACCAAACAGTGCCCTTCTAAGTTGAATAGAACCGAGCGCAGGCGTTGATGTAAGTCCAGTGGTGTTCGGGAGTTTCTGTATCCGATTTTAGTTCCATGAGATTTCATGCTCAAACACCGCTGCCTGCGTTCATGCGAACAGGATGTCCGGCACCTCGTGGTTGTCCATCGGAATTGCGAACAATTAGAACACTGCGGTGAGAAACATTCCAAGTTGTTAATAGGTGTTAAGCTCCAGTGTGGTCTCTGGTTCGTGCGGTTGTTCAGTAGTTCAAAGTGCTGCTTCGAAAGTTCGAAGTGTTGCTGTTATAAGTCCAAAAGGCACAAAACAGGGGTTTCAACCAGGGTTAAACACAGAGGCCATAATCACAGGGAAGGAGGCTGGCAAACAAGCCCCTCCAAAAACTAGTGGCGAGGTTACTTTTGCCACATTTTCTTTTTTCAGTGTGTCCTTTTAACTTGGTAGGTTATCCAACTCATGCCTTAAACAAATCAGAGGCTCTTGAAAATATTTTTTAGACTTAATTTACTACTGTTCTGGATCTGGAGACATAAATATTACAAAATTGGGGGCGGGGCCGGGCGGCCATGCTAGCAGGCTGCAAGTCACTATGGCTCCTGAGGAATCCAGCTAATAATGGTGACAAAACCCACCTTACTCAACTTGGAATGCCCTGGAAATTTGTGGTATATGCTCCTGGAGTGTCCCAGTGCAGCTAGAGCACCTGACACCGGGTGGTTCTGGGTCCTGGTGAGATGCCCCGGGGCTGGTGGACTGAGGCCTACACGGGAGGGGAGTGGAGCAGACGGCCGCTGCCTCGCTCTCCGCCCCGGGTAATGAGAATCGCAACGCAAATGGAGCCCTCCCGGCTCCGTTCACCCCCCCCTTTGGACCGGCGGGGGTTATCCCGGTCCCCACCAGGCAAGCAAACATCTTGGCGGCAAGCCTGGGTGACCCAGCGCCGACAGTCTAAGGCTACCATGCGGCCCTCACAAAATGGCCGACAGCGGCGCGATTAACTCGCTTCCTACCACCAAACCCACAGACCAACATTGGAGGAGAGCCCGGAGAGGTCCTTACCAAACACCAACCCCAGCATATCGCTACCTGTATCTGGACACTATGGGCTGCAAAGCACCGCACCCGTACTCACCTACTGACCGGGTACTGTGGACACGGCGATCTGAGGACACTTTGATCGAAATGAGGCTGCGGAATACAGTGGAACGCCTGGGTACTCCGCGAGGGTCACCCCCAAGCCTGGGAACAGGATGCCTCTCAACCAACGACGATCCCAGCTCCTCGGGACGAAAGGCAGCCAAGGAGTGCACTGCGGAACTCACGACAGCCTTAAAAGATAACTCCCTGGCGATACTTGCCGATACATGGACATCTCTGTAATTATAATCACAGCTCATGTCACAGTAACTGTCGGTTTGGGCATCCAGGGTAATGCAGATGATAACTCACTATGCCAAAATCAACCTGGTGGCATTTCATTTAAACACCTATCTTAACTAAGCTAGCACTTCTTAAAAGCGTCTGTTTATACTCTTGTTATGAATATAATATAAACCACACATGCAGACTCAGGTTTCAAGCAAACTCCTATTATATTGCTTAGAAGAGGTAGTGAAACACTGAATGAATAAGCATATGTAGACCTAGACAATTCCACGTTTGACTAGCCTGTATATCACTCTAAGCTAGATAATCAAAGTTAAACTTGAAAGTTTATGTTCGATACAGATGTTGATACTTGCTATAGCACCAGCCACATAAGCTAAGTGACGAATCCAACAATTTGCTCATCACATAATTATAAAATTGTGCATGTTTTATAGCTGACCCAACTGTTATATATATGTTCCAAATACGCTTGAGGAATGTCGTTGGGATACCTCATGCGGGGATGTTAAACTGATATGCACTGCAAAAATAAAAAATTTAAAAAAAATATTACAAAATTATCCAGGATGTCCTTAGGTGCCAGTGTCCCATTAATTAAGTGCCACAAGAAAGTAATAAATGCTGTACGGATTTTATACTGTTTCTACACTTCTCAACCTCTACACCTAAACCACCTGCCTATTATTATGTAGGACCCCCTCATGCAGCCAAAACATCTCTGATGTGAAGACATTAGCAGCAGATGCTTTAAGTCTTACAAGTTGCAAGGTGGAGTCTTTGAAGATCACATTTGTTGTTCCAGCACATCCTCACAGATGATCAATTGGATTGAGATCTAGGAAATTTGAAGGCCTAGGTAACGCCATAAACTGTTTTCGTGTTCTTGAAACCATTCCTGCACAATTTTTGCATTGTGTATTATCCTGTTGAAAGAAACCATTGCCATCAGGGAACACCACTGCCACGAAGAGGTGTATGTGGCCTGCAACAATCTCTAGGTAGTTGGTATATATCAAAGTAACATCCACATGAATGTTAGAACCCATCCACCTGATCTAAAATAAAACATGATTAATTAAACCAGGCCACCTTCTTCCATTGGTCCATGGTCTAGTTCTGACACTCAAGTCCCTGTTGAAGGCGTTTTCGGCAGTGGACAGAGGTAATCATAGGCACTTTGACCGGTCTGTGGCTACACAGCCACATATGCAGTAAACTGAAAAGCACCGTGTTCTGACATCTTTCTATCATGGTCAGCATTAAGTTTTTCAGCAATTTGAGCTACAGTACTTCTTCTGTGTCATTGGACCATGCCTCAAGCCTTGTCATTGGACCATACCCCATGCCTTGACAGGTGCCATTGTAACAATATAATCAATGTTATTCACTTCACCTGTGAGTGATTTTGATGTTGTGGCTGATTAGTGCATGCATCTGGAGACGTGGTCACTATTCCATCCACAGGATATGGGCACACATGGTAGAAAGGAGTTAGAGGGAATAGATCAAACACTGTTCATTGTATGTAAGTGATATAGTTGCTGCTGCTGCTTGTTTATACATTGTATATCTTGTATATGTTCATTGTATACTGGTGAGTTTTAAAAAGGAACTTTCACTTCTCAAGAAGTAACAGTTCCTTCCTTGTTCCTTCACACCTATTTCAGCTTTTTTAGTGTTCCAGGGGTGAATAAAGCAGCAGAGATATGCAAAAAAACTTACCTCCATGTCACTTCTGTGTTGTGGTGACTTCACCTTCACATGTTTGGTATACAGCACAATAAATGTTAACTAATTAGCATACGTTAACAGGCTTTGCACAGCAAATTAAAATAATATCTAAAGAATAAAATAAAAAAGCAGAACCAATAGCTGACCTTTTGTTAGCTATTATATTTTGCTTAACTTTAGGAAGTGACATTTCCTCTTTGGCTGTCTTTATTAATGCAAAACTGAATCAATTGTGAATGCTTGAATATGGCGCTGAGCACATAATATCTCAATGTTCAATACAGAGTTTGACATATTTTTAAACAGTCTAGAAGCCAGGGCTAAAAGCAACATTTATACTGTAAGAATGGGTATGATAAGAAAATGTTTAAATAGTAGCAAACAATAATAGCATAGATTAGGCATTAGGAATGTATAATCTGAATGATAAAATAGCAATAAAAGGCAAGTTATTGGCACAAAAACCACTACAACTTAACAGAAGGGTTCCAGTGTCTTGAGCCTGTACCTGCAGGATGAGCAGTATAAATGCTGTCTTTTCTGGAGTGTTTACATTCCTGTCTTGGTTTTTCACATTTTGCTTATAGGTTGCCACTAGAGGGGACTTCCTGGGTTTGGACCTGCAAAGATTGCAGGACCGACATTCAGCATGCCCACACTCTGCATGGACTCAATGAGGAGATACTGATTGGCGCAGTGGTTTGAAAGAAATGTTAAACTGCTTTTTGTGATGCACACTGAGGGGGCCCACACATAAAGAGTTAGTAGTGCACTATAGTGCAATACATGTTTCTATTCTTAACACTATAGTGTTCCTTTAACAAATCTCAGTTTCAGGATTTGTTTGGGGATTAAAAACCCAGCAATTCACTCTAGATTTATGACAAATGTAAAAAATAATTGATGACAATGCTGATTGAAATGATACATTAGATCACTTAGAATGTTAGATAAAGTAATTTATTATTCCAATTCGAACTCAAGCAGATTAAAGAGACCCCAAGTGCCATATTCTGTGTTTGGTGCCCTGCCTTCCTGCGTATAACTATTTATAGTTGCAGAAATGTTAAACAATTATTTCCCCATTAATTCACACTCTGTAACATGGTTTCCTGCAAGGTATTCTAGAAACTATGAGAAAATAACATGATAATCATGGCTAGTAAAGAATATTTTTAAACTGATCCTGAACTTTTTACATGAAGGGGCACATAGGTGCAGAAGGCTTATAATTCCTTAAAATTGTCATGATTTTTAACAATTTTTTTTTTTTTTTTACATTTTCTACTCAATAATCCTGCCAACCATCCTGATTTCGTCAGGACAGTCATGATATTCGTGTTATGACTTTGTTCCCTGGTATCATTCGACTATCACGCGGAAATTGGGATGGGTGAAAAGCGTGCATCTATTAGCAAACACCACAAGTGTGGTTATTTATTACGCCAAACTTTGTTTCTTCACTTTTCTTCTTCACAACTACATTATATAATTGTATCCTTGCCTCATTGATTAGTTGCTTGGAAGATGCTTGCTGGTTGGTTTTGCTAGAGGTCCTCAGATTGCACTAGCATTGGGTGTTGTCACTGGCGTACTGAGGGGAGTGCGGGAGGCAGTCCTCCCCGGGTGCCACCGATTAGAGGGGTGCCCGTGACAGCATGTTGACTCCTGGGCCCCACTTCATCATGCAAGAAGACACAGGGACCTAGGAGTCATCTTGCATCCTCCAGCAGCAGCATGTATTTTCCTGTGGCAAACTGCGAGAGCATTGCCGCAGGTTGCTATGGAAAAGCTCTAGTTGGCACGCAATGCATGCCAGAGTGTTGCCATGGCAAATCGCGGTAATGCTATCACGGCTCACAAGAGGAAAGGGCATGCTGCTGCTGAAGGATACAAGATGACTCCTGGGTACCTGCTATATCCACCAGGGAAATGTGTCCCCCTTTCCTGGCCACAGGTAGGAGGCAGGGAGGGTGGAAATAGTGTGATGTGTGTGAGTGTAGTGCATGTAGTGTGTTTTGTATGCAGTATCTGTTTTTATAGTGCATGTACTGTGTGTGTTTGTTGTGTGGGATAAGTACTGGGGGAAAGGAGGGCGGCAGTTTATTTTTTAATTAATTGGGTTTATTCCCCCATCCCTGCCTCTTGCCTGTGGAGGGAAGGGGGAATAAGCCCAACTAATTAAAAATCAGCTTTTCCCAGTATTTATCACACACAACAGACACTACATCCACTAGACAAACACACACTGTATCCACTACACACACACTACATGCACTACACAAACACACACTACATCCACTATACAAACACGCTGCATCGGCTACACAAACCCGCACACTACATGCACTACACACAGACACAGCATCCACTACACACAGTGCATCCACTATAAAAACACACACACTGTGTACCTGTCTATCTGCATGTGTATCTGTGTGTGTTTGCATCTGTGTATCTGTATGTCTGTATTTGTTTGTGTGTCAGTGTTTGTATCTGTATGTGTTTGTATCTGTGTATATATGTGCAAATGTGTCTGTGTATTTGCATGTGTGTACCTGTGTGTCTGTGTATCTGCATGTGTGTAAGTATGTGTGTGTGACTGTGTCTGTGTATCTGCATGTGTGTAACTATGTGTCTTTGTATATGCATGTGTGAGTATGTAGCTGTGTGTCTGTGTATCTTCATGTGTGTATCTATGTATCTGTCTGTCAGTGTGTATCTGTATGTCTATATATCTGCAAGTGTATCAGTGTGTGTATATGTGTGTGTGTGTGTGTGTGTGTGTGTGTATATATATATGTGTGTGTGTGTGTGCATCTCAGCATCTTGCCAACACTATACACAAATACACCCCTGTATTCAAACATCAACATTACAAAGTATTAGAACACCTCCATTATATATAAACATACCACTGTATTAAATACAATAAAAACAGTTTGCGTTTCTTTTATTTACATTTTAAAGTTCGGGGGTGGGGTGCCAATTTTAGGATCTGCCCTGGGGGCCAAATGCTCTAGGTACGCCTCTGGGTATTGTGGAGGATTTTGCCTCTTCTGGCTGGTCAGTACAGTATTCCTTGAGCTCCCACTATATGATTTCAATTTATCCTTTCAGTTATTGCTTCAAGGACTGTAACCGCACATTGGAATATCAAGTTATTGTCTAGAAATATTTATTTATTGTGTTTGCATGATTTTGTTATGTACCTGCAATCATCGGTTTGTGTACTGTAAGCAAGAAGAGATTGTCATAAAAATGGACATGGCAATAGTTTCCACATAGCATGTACATGTGTTTTATGTCTATATATTATATTTATATATGTAGTTAGCCCCATACAAAGGTTCAGTGTCAGACCCGTGAGGTAAAGCCTTTGATCTAACACTGCCACCATTTAATCTGATGTTTCATTTTTTTTTTTACATTTTTTTTATTGTGTCTGCTTTCTAAAATTTGACCCTGACTTCTAAAATCTAAGGAAATGTGTCTAGCTCTGTCCGTTAGTGAACATATTCATTTGGTAAATTTAGCAAATTCTTTGCCTCAGTGTTACTGTTTTTTATAACCTCTCCAAAACTACCGGTAAGTCATTCCTACTTGAGGCTCCAAACTCAATTTATCTTTCATTTTTGGCGTCATCATCCTAGCTATCATTGAATCTGTTTAGTTTTGAGTTACAGTGGATTCAACTTGCTCCTTAACCCTTTACATTCAGTTTTATTAATTCAATCTCCCAAATGTACTACCTTACAACACAAGGCAATACTAAAAATCTATTCATCAGTTGTAATGTACAATGGTAATTTCAATTTCCTCATTGCTGGACTGCTAAAACCTTCTGTGTATCATGAACACCTGTGCAATCTGTGTCATTTTCCATCCCTTGTAGTAAGTGCAAGAGTGTTTACTCGTTTTGTTAAAAAAAGGCAACATGTAGTTGAAACACCAGATTCATGTACAGCACTTGAAATTGACAGAAGTGCAGTTTTATATATATATATATATATATATATATATATATATATATATAGCTATTTCATGTTTATACCTAAAAAAAAAAAATATTTTTTTTCATATTTAAATTTTTTTAATCTTTGAAAAATATTAGAAATGGGGTATAATTTAGTAGAGATTATATGCTATACTTGTCCTGTAATATTCCTTGTAAGGAATATGCTGGCATATTGGGGAATGAGATTTTTTGTTCTTGCAAATGTAATTTTATACTTGTATTGTTACTTTTGTGATCATTGCCCACAACAGGGTGGGGGGAGGGAGGAGGGACAAGAGCACAATTATGTGATATACTACAGTGGTTTACTAATGATGGGCCAACGGTTGCTAATTACTGTATATTGATTAATAATAAATTAGGATATATAAATATCCCATAAACTCTAGCTATTGCTGGATAGGGAATTATGGCATAAGATAAATGAACCCACAAACTCCTGACTGGTGTCTTGTTATGCTGCATCCATTAAAGGATCCATTTTTTTCATATTATAATGCATTATCTAAATAATACGTTACAAGCCTAGGAGAGGGTTAGTTCCAGCCCTTCAATGTCCATCTCAGCATTATTCAGGGTAATATTTTCAGTCTGTTATACTTGAAGGAACACCCCAGTCCCATAAATCACTTCAGCTGGTGGGGCTGGACCATCAATATGTAAAAAGAGCCTTCTAATTTCAGAAAGAAATGTATTTCTTTCTAAAGTTGTTTCTGTTGTTTAACATTGTTAAAGTTGTTTTGCTGTGTTTCTTTAACTACAGGCAAAGAAAACCCCAAACAAACTTGGAATGTGCATAACACAATTGTTTACATGCTTTATTTTAGTTTCATTAATACAGTGAATTTTTTGAAGGAACACTATAGGGTCTGGAACACAAACATGTATTTCTGACCCCATGGTGTTAAAACCACAATCTAGCCCCTCCCCCCGACCTCCCTTTGCGTCCCTTAATATAGTAAAATCTTACTTGTATTCAAGCCTGCAGCTCCTGCCTCTGCCCCTGATCTGCCTGCTTGTCTGACATCATCAGAGGTGATTCTCTGAGCCAACCACAATGCTTCCCCATAGGATTGGCAGAGTCAAGGGCAGATCAAGGAGGCAGATCAAGGGCAGAGCCAGAAAAGTCAACCTCAACCCTGGCCAATCAGCGTCTCTTCATAGAGATGCATTTAATCAATGCATCTCTATAAGGAAAGTTCAGTGTCTCCATAAAGAGGGTGGAGAAACTGAATGGTAGTTCTGCACAATGTGCAACACTGCCCCAGGAAGCACCTCTTGTAGCCACCTGAGGAATGGCCAGTGGAGTTATCAATAGGCTGTAATGTAAACACTGTATTTTCTCTGAAAAGACAGTTTTTAATGCAAAAAGCCTGAAGGGAATGATTCTACTCACCAGAACAAATACAATAAGCTGTAGTTGTTCTGGTGACTATACTGTCCCTTTATTGTTATTATTTGCTGTCCCTTATATGTAATGTAATATCTCTCAGCCTCCATTGTACGGTTCTTCACAAAATGTTTTTGTCAAAATATTTATAGACACTTCCTGTGAACAAAACTGTTGAAAAAGTTGAAAAAGAAAGAAGCTTGAAGGACCAAAGTTTGAAATTGTAAAGGAAAGTCTAGATCAGTTTCTCACAGACCCTTTTTAAAATTGTTTTACGGAAATCTTATAAAGGTGATCTCCAGTGGTATTATTCTATCTTAAGACAAAGGAAACAGAAATCCATAAAAGTAAAGTACATTAACTAAAACAAAGTACATTAACAACAGGCCAATATTGCTGTTTTGGTCCGAGATGCCTATAAAAATAGAGATTTATGGAGTTCAGGCTAGACATTCAGAACGATTTTCTTTGTTTCTCATATAAAATACTGCAGACAAAGCAAACTGTGAGACAGGTACAACAGGAGACTATAGGACAGGGCGTCAGGAGGTGTACACATATCTTGTTTGTTACTATGTTTAGTCATAAACCAGCTTCTATTCACTTGCACAAGTTTTTACCTTGAGTGAATGAGACACTGTTTCTTATATTGGTCACAGACAACCAGTAGTGCAAGGATTATTTTTGAGACTGGGAGCAGTAGTCTCTGAGATGGAGGAAGGTTTCATGTTTTTCAATATGATTGATTTATTAAAGGAATCCTATATTGCCAGGAAAACAGGTCAGGCTCCGCACGTGCATTTGACCTCCCCAGAGGAAAGCTTTATTCAATGCTTTCCTATGGGGAATATCTGATGCTGGAGGTCTGTGAGGACGTTCAGCGTCAAATAACGGACCAAAAGTCCGTTTGGATTCTGGAAGCCCTCTACTGGCTGTCTGGAAGACAGCCACTGAGGGCAGACTTAGTGCTACAATGTAAACTTTGAAGTTTCTCTGGAACTGCAATGTTTTACTTTGCAGCACTAAGTGCAAAAGGGTCACAGCGCCCAGACTACTTCAATTAGCTGAAGTGGTCTTGGTGCCTACAGTATAATTTGTGATTCTTTTTTTATTTTTTTTGTACAAACATTAGTCATGGAATGGGAATAGGGAACAGTAGCTGAAGGGAATTATCAATCCTTCTATTGCTGGCTCTTATTCATTGTTGATTATCAATGTATATAAAATCCACAATTTTATAACTCCAGCACACATATAACTTCACTTAAAGGACCACTATAGTATGTTTTCCTGGCACTATAGGGTTTCTAGGTCCCCCCCACCCTCAGGGCTTCCCTCCCGCCGGGCTCT